TTCCGTCCGCCATAGCTACGAAGCTCAGCAACCTTAGCACACCACTTTTCGAACGGAAGTCCCACAGACGGCGCCAAATGGTAACACAAAACACTCTGACCGACTAGAATCAAAGTGATCGCCTTCCTTCTCACCGGCTGAATGTCGTGCACCTATAAAGAACTCTCACACCGGAGGGGTTTTCCGGTGTAGAGCCTCCAAAGCTTAAATCAGTGTTTGTTCAATTAATTATCAAGAGTAAAATTGTATTGATCGTGTCTAACAATAAAGGCTTACCCCCATATATATAGGGGTAAGATACCTGCCCTAGAAGCTGCTCGGATCTGCTGAGTTGGCTGCCCGGGCCTGCCTGTCCGTACACACACAGTATGCGTGTGTCAAAGAGTCGTTGCCACTATCCTCTGCACCAATATCTCTGCGCCACGTGCCCTCATCACATGGAGTAAAATATTCCCTCGCGATTTGTTGACGTCCTACTGATAATCTGCAATTCCGTTAGAAGTTCCTCGTATTTTGACCTTATCCGAGTCAACTCCCTAAGTTGTCTTTTATTTCTAGTGAGATCGACCATCATGCTGCCTCGGGGCTATCTTCGACCAACGCGGACTCAACCTGCTTGATACTCGACCAGGTCTTCCTCATTATCTCTGCCCAAGCCTTATATATTTCTTCCCCGACCACACTCAATTTGCCCGCTCAGCCATCATTAAGACTGGAAATGATCTTCTTCATATTTCCATTCGCTTAGCCGGCTAAACAGACCGGTTTATTCGTCTAGATATAATATCTCATATCATTTGGCATCTAAGACTTGGTCATATAAACCTTAGGAGGATTCAAAGGTTGGTGGCAGACGGGCCCTTGGGGTCGTTGGAAGTCAAGGTCTTTCCAACTTGTGAGTCCTTTCCAGAAGTCAAAATGACTAAGAGGGTTTTTAAGGCAAATGGGCATATAGTCAAAGATGTGTCAGGGCTAGTTCATTTTGATTTATGTGGTCCTATGTCTATACAAGCGAGAGGAAGTTACGAGTACTTCAGTACGTTTATTGAAGATAACTCGA